CAAGTTAAATTATCATTCTGTAGACTTATAGAAGTTAGGGTCTTTAGAAAATATTTAGCCAATTGTTTTTTTCACACTAAAAAACAATTACTTTTGGGCATTACTTTTGAGAGATATTAGCAGTGACTGTGAAACCAAAGGGGTTAGGGAATGTGGGGTTAACAAGCATTAGGTAAACATTATACAAGCAGGCTCTTCCTCGCTGGCCCCCTCGGAGCCTGTGATATGGATTGTGTGTCCTCCAAGGGGAAATGCAAATTTTCCAGTAGTCTTTGACAACAGAACCACTTTCTGTATGAACTTCTTATTGGGCCAATATTCTAGGGACACATTTGGGAAGTGCTGATAGGGTCCAAATGAATCATTCTACACATTTGGAAACTCAGTCCCAGGGAGGTGCCAGTGACTAGATGGTAGCAGAGCCACTGTGAGGACGTGTCAGGAGACTCCCATACTCCCAGAGCTGCTTCTTCACCAGCGTGCTCCCCTTAAGGCTGATCTTTAGTATTTCTGTCTCCATAAAGCATGTTTATTTGCGGAACGGGAAATGGCACTGCCTTCAGCCAAGGATATTGGGAAAGTAAGGTAGACCCCTTTCAAGTATGTTCTAACTGTATGGGGAGGAGAATTTCCTTCTGATACTTTCAATTCAATGTCTCTCTGTCTCTTCTGAAGAACTTCATTGATTCATAAAAAGCCCCTATTCAACAAACACTTATGCACACAGCTCTGTGCCCATTGGACAATATATAGAAGGGCGAGATAATATACCACGTTGGGTAAGAGGAAAGGTTTGGAGGTCAAGTTCTGATTCTGCCACATTCTGACTGGGTATACTTGGACAAGTCACCTATGATATTTAAGTCTCAAGATACAGAAACAACCTAACTGTCCATTGGCAGATGGACTGGCTTAACAAATTAACAAATTAACAAAATTAACAAAAGGAAATCCTGCCATTTGCGACAATATGGATGAACCTGGAAGACATTATGCTAAGTGAAATAAGTCAGACACAGAAAGTAAAAAACTGCAAGACCTCACTTATATGCAGAATCTTAAAATGTTGACTACAGAGAAGGAAAGAGCAGAATGGTGGCTGCCAGGGGTGGGGAGGTGGGGAAAATGGGAAGATGTTGGTCAAAGGTTACAAAGTTGCAGTTATGTAGGATGAATAAATCTAGAGCGCTTAGGCATAGCATCATGACTATAGTTAATAATACTGTACTGAATCCTGGAAATTAGCTATAGAGAGTAAACTTTAGGTGATCTTGTCACAACAATAAAAAATGGTAACTATGAGAGAAGACCGGTTAATTAGCTTGAATGTAGTAATCATTTCACTATGTATATGTGTATCAAAACATCATGTTGTACATCTTAAATATATACAATTTTTATTTTTAAAAAAATCAATTTAATAAATAAATAAAAGACTCAGACTCCCTATCAATAAAATGAAGGTAACACTGATACCCTCTTCACAGATTGTGTTGAGGATTAAATTAGAAAAGACATTTAAAACGGTTAGCACAGTGCCAGCATATATAAGTATTTAGTAAATATTTATTGTTGTTGTAATGATTCTTGGCGTTATTATGATTATTGTGATGATTATGATTATCTTGATAGCCCAGTTGGAGAAAAACAACAAGCACACTCAGAAATTCAATTAACAATGAAAGGAACGGATCAGAGAGAACAACAAGGTTTCATGTCCTTTGCCAACTCCAGTGAGCATTTAGCGGCTGCCTCGAGTGCTATGTTGAGAAGAATTCTGAGGCTTTTGCCAGCCTTGGAGGGAAATAGCACCAGTGTCAATTAGTGATATTTTTCATGGGAATGGGGAGTGTGGCTATGAGGTTACATGGCATGTACTTGCCTTTCTTAGAATGAATAATGAAATGCCAAGTGTGGTAGATTAGACAGAGCAGTCATTCCCAGAGGAGGTAGGGTAGCTGGACCTGGAGGATGGGTTTGATATGAAAGGAAGGAGATGAAGTAAGGGAGGGAAGGCATCTGCCACCAGGAATTCGGTGAGCAGAGGTGCCAAGGGTAAAACCCACATGGTCTATTTGGGTGGCAGTAAGTAGATCAGCCTGTCTAGAGAAGTGTCTGATGCTAAAGATCAGCTCTACCAATATGGTAAGCAGAAATGCTGAGCTGCTCACACACATCTAACACGCGGTCCTGCTGTTCCCATAATTTCCTCATATGTGCTGGGCCATTTGCCTGGATTCGAAGTTTGGAAGATGTGGACACCAATAAGTCTCTAGTGCCATCTTGTCTACCATGGGGCGATTCGAAGGCTCCTTTCCATCATCCTTGCTTATGAAGAACATCCTTTGGCGTTTCATCAGTGGCTGCTGTTCAGAGCCCATCACTCTATGCGCACTTTAGAAAAGTCCTTACACATGGCTTCCATCATGCACAGATGGCACTGCAGCCCCAAGGACCTGAGATCCTCCACAAATGTACACATGGATAAAAAGTCATTGATAGGGCCAGCCGAGTGGGTCAGTTGGTTAAGAGCTCGCTCAAGAGTTTGAGCTCTGAGCAACAGCTGTTTGATGCCAGGCCCGAGCTGAGCTGCCGCTAAGCTGCCAATAGGTAGCAGGATGGCTCAGCTTAAAAAAAAAAAGTCAGGCCAGCCGAGTGGCGCGATGGTTAAGAACTGCCTTGGGATGCCAGAGGGCCCCGGTTCAGATCCCACATATGAGGGCTAGTGACACTGCCCTCTGCAGCTAAGATGCTGAACAACAGCTCAACCTGGAGCTGGGATGCCATGAGTCGCCGGCGATGGCATAGGCTGCAGACCCTGTGGCAGTGGGTTGCCATGGGCTACCATATGTAGCCAGCAGCCAGCGTGAGCAGCCAGCAGCCGCAGTGAGTGGCTGTCCAGAAGCCAGCGACTGATCTGCTTCGCCCAGGAAGAGCGCAATGATGGTGCCAACTTGGGCCAGTGAAGCAACGTCCTCCACAACTAGATTGAAGAACAAAACAACAGCAACTTGTCTGTTCCCCTTCCCCCAATTCCCCAGCACTGTTCCCATCCCCCCAATTCCCCAATAAAAATCTTTAAAAAAAAAAGTCACTGATAATGAGAAATGAAGACTTGACCTGCCAGAAATGCCCATGTGTATATCTGTGCCTCCTCTGTATTCAGTACTGTGCTAGGTCGGTGAGGGATATCAAAGCGGTATTTATTAAAACCACAAATAAGGATGGGAACTTTTGGAAAATTACTTTGCAAAGCTTCATAACTTGGCATAATGAGGTTTTATTCATGTATGCTCTTTTAGAGTGTCTACTGCAAAGCAGGCACTTCTATATTAGTTAGGACTTGTGAGGTAACAAGTGACAGAGACCGAACTCAAACATATTTAAGCAAAAGAGGGGGTATTACAAGAGATAATGAGATGGCCGTGAAACCCAAAGACAAGAATGTGCCTAGAGCATGGGAAGCACTGAAACCAGGAACTCGAAGACCATCCGGATTCTCTTTGATTCTTGTCTCTGGGTCTCCTTTTACTCTCTTCATTAGTTTCATTCTTCATTCTAGCTAGTAATCAGTTTTCTCCATGTGGTGAAAAATATGGGCTCAATAGCTCCCAAATTTAACAGTATCTCTCTATATATCTTTGGTCACTAGAAAGAAACTATCTTATCATCCTCTCTGGTCCAAGTCAAAAAATCCCAGCGAAGGACTCATTAAAGCAGTTTGAGTCAGGTAAACTCCACAGTCATGAAACAACATGGCAGCCCCTGTGGGAACCACCAAGGTGTGGCCAAGGGAAAGGAAATTTCTTGAAGTAGGGAGAGTGAGGTGCTGTGCAAACAAAACAAGAGGGCCTGTTACATTTTTCCTTAATTCTTTTTTTTTAAGATTTTTATTAGGGAACTGGGGGATGGGAACAGTGCTGGGGAATTGGGGGAAGAGGAACAGGCAAGTTGCTGTCCTTTTGTTGTTCAGTCTAGTTGTGGAGGACGTTGCTTCACTGGCCCAAGTTGGCACCATCATTGCGCTCTTCCCGGGCGAGGCAGATCAGTCGCCGGCTTCTGGATGGCTGCTCACACTGGCTGCTGGCCGCTCACACAGGCTGCTGGCTACACACGGTAGCCCATGGCAACCCACTGCAGCAGGGGCTGCAGCCTATGCCATCACCGTGACTCACGGCATCCCAGCTCCAGGTTGAGCTGTTGTTCAGCATCTTAGCTGTAGAGGGCAGCGTCACTGGCCCCCATATGTGGGATCTGAACCGGGGCCCTCTGGCGTCCCAAGCCAGCTCTTAACCAACGCGCCACTTGGCCGGCCCTCCTTAATTCTTTTCTACACGCCAACTCAATTTAGCCATCAACCAATAATTCCATCCATTTATATAAGCATCTATTCACTTAACTGAGTGTTTGCTATGTGTCAGGTACTCTGCTAGATTTTAAGGATGAAAAGATGACTCACATGATACCTGTTAGAGTGCTAGGCATTCAGAGATACAAAGATACAGAGATACAGGTGGCAAGCGTTGAGCCATGAATGATGAAAGCTGAAGAAGTTAGAAAGTAAGTGGGGTCAGTGGGGCCTGGAACATTCAGGGGAAACATCTTGGAAAGAGTGATACTTCTGTAGGGTCTTTGAGAGGTGAGGAAGTTCTTGTTTATGACTACATGTGTTTAAAGTGCAGGATTTTCACAACATCGCACTGAGTGAGGCCCTCTGCTCAAGGCTCTGTGCATCTGGAGGCCTTCTGGAATGCATGCTGTTGGCCAGTGGCCCTGTTCCCTTCTCAGAGGCAGGACTACCACCCACAGCTCTTCGGATGGTCGTTTTTTTGTGTGTGTGTTTTTTTTTTTCATTGCCATGGCCTGTTGGATCAAAGCCTCTGAGTTTGATGCAAGTTCAGAATAATTTCCTTCAAGGATTAACTCATCTTTCTGGGCTCAGAGAGCTTCACAAGCAACATCTGGTACAGCCTGCCGAGGGATTCTTCACCCAAGGAGTTTCAAATTTCAACATGTGAGCCATCCTGCTGAATAACATCATCGACGGGAAACAGCATGCAGACCTTATCTTGTAACAAGAGCTCTGGATAACACTCGCGGTCATATTTTGCACATGACTATAATAAATGGTGCAAACTGTAACAGGTTCTTTAGCACTTTGTTTCTTGCCAAAGGGACTGCATTTCACACTGATGGGTTTAATTCCCTTGTGGGTTTTCTCTGGGGCCATTCCATAGCCCCATCTGTTAACAACAACCCTGCGTATGCACGGACCAGCCCAGAGGCTCACATTCGAATGTAGTTACAGGGAATCTCTTGGTCAGTTCCCTTTGTCAGGTTCCATCTGTCACCTCCCTGTCTGTCCAGGCCTCATGAAAACTCCTCAGCTGGGACCATTTCCTTGCCTTTCGATAATCCTGGCTTTATTGCTCCATGCTATGATTTTTGTATCCCTGGCTCTGCCCTCTGCATCCCAGGGCCTAGTTCCACGACTCCTGGAGTTCTCTTCAAGGTCAAATTATACCTTGTTCTTAAAGGTAAGCCATTATAACAGCGAATAGTTGAGTTTGATGTGTCAGGTATGTATTATTCACAGGGGCCTTAGTATCATCGCCCATGACTCATCAGTGAAAATGAGACTCAGAGCATGAGTGAGCTGCCCAAGTACAAGATATGAACCCATGTCTGCCTCACTCCTAAGACTGTGGTTTTTTTAAGGGGTAAATATAGGGACCCAAAGAAATGAGGAAAACCCAGAGAGTAGAGGCTCAGCATTCAAAGGAGAAAAATTCTGAGACATGGTGAACTGTCTGAAGCCAGAACAGGTTGGAGAATATTGAGACCATTGGCCTGAAGAAGGCTGTTGGCAAACGTTTTCAAGAAAAACTGCAGTAGAATAATGGGTCTAGAAGAGGTCAGGTAGTGGGTAGAACAATACAGACCACCAAGAAAATGAAAGCGTCACCAGATAGAAAATGGAATATAATGAAGGGCTGTTTTGTATCTAATGAACTTGAAACTCAGGGTGAAGCCCAGGAATTGTTTTAATAAGCCCTCCAGGTGATTCTGATACACACTAACGTTTGTGAACCACTACTATAGCACCATGTCTCAGCCTTGGCTGCACATTGGAGTCATGATACGTCTGCCCCATTCCTGAAATTGATTTAATTGCTACAGGTAGTGGGGTAATACAAAGTTCTCCATGTGATTCTAACATGCAGCCAGAGTTAAAAACTACTGCTGCAGTCAAACAGGAGGTGGCAGGGGGAATAATAGCTATGCTGAGCTCTGGCTGTGCCAGGCATTGTGTTAAGACCATGCTTTGCAAGCTTTAATGGGCATAAGGATAGCCCAACAAGCTCCCAGGTACTTTATGGGCATTGCTCCAATGAATCCTCATGACAATTTTGTGAGGCAGGTACCATCATTATTCCCATTATACAGGTAAAGACACTGAGGTTCCAAGGAGTTACCTGACTTGCCTTGGGCATCATAGCAAGGAAGTGCCAAAGCTACAATTTGAAAATCAAGACTTCTTTGAATCCAAAGTACTCATTCTTTTTTTTTTTTTGATTGTGGTAAAATATACACAACAAAAAAATTACCACTTTCAGGAAGTCCTAGCCACAGCAATCATACAAGAAAAAGAAATAAAAGGCATCCAAATTGGGAAGAAAGAAGTAAAATTGTCATTATTTACAGATGACATGATACTATATATAGAACCCTAAAGATTACCCCCCCACACCAGAAAAAATACCTATTAGAACTGATAAATGAATTCAGTAAAGTAGCAGGATACAAAATTAATATTCAGAAATTGGTTAATTTTTATACACCAATAATAAACTATCAGAAAGAGAAATGAAGAAAACAATTCCATTTACGGTTGTGTGAAAAAAACACATAGGAATAAATTTAATCAAGGAGATACAAGACCTGTACTTGGGAAATTATAAGACCTTGAAGAAAGAAATTGAAGAAGATACAAATAAATGGAAGCATATACCATGCTAATAGATAGGAAAAATTAATATAGTTAAAATGTCCATAGTACCCAAAACAATCTATTGATTCAATGCAATTCCTATTAAAATACCAATGGTATTTTTCACAGAACTAGAACAAATCATCCTAAAATTTGTATGGAACCATAAAAGACACTGAATAGCCTCAGCAATCTTGAGAAAGCAGAACAAAGGTAGAGATATGCTACCTGATTTCAAACTACCCTACAAGGCCATGTTAATAGAAACACATGGTACTGGCATAAAAACAGACACATAGAGGGGCCGGCCAAGTGGCTCAGTTGGTTAAGAACTCGCTCAAGAGTGCGAACTCTGAGCAACAGCAGTTCAAGTCCCAGCCCGAGCTGAGCTGCCGCTGAGCTGCCAACAGGTGACAGGGTAGCTCAGCTAAAACAAACAAACAAACAAACAAACAAACAAAACAGACACATAGATCAATGGAACAGACTAGAGAGCCCAAAAATAAACCCACACCTATGTAGCCAATTAATCTATGACAAAAGAGGGAAGAATACACAATGAATTAAAGACAGTCTATTCAATAAATGGTGTTGGGAAAACTGGACAGATACATGCAAAAAAATGAAACTAGACCACCTTCTTACAGCATATACAAGAATAAGCTCAAAATGGATTAGATTAAATATAAGACCTGAAACCATAAAACTCTTAGAAGAAATTATAGACATTAAGCTCTTTGACTTTTCTCTTAGTAATATTTTTAATGATCTATTTATTCAGGCAATGGAAACAAAAGAAAAAAATAAACAAATGGGACTACATCAAACTAAAAAGTTTTTACACTCCAAAGGAAGACATCAACAAAATGAAAAGACAATCTACTGAATGAGAGAAGATATTTGTCAGTGATACATCCAATAAGGGATTAATATCCAAAATTCATTAAAAACTCATACAACTCAACACCAAAAAAAAATTCAATTAAAAAATGGGCAGAGGACCTGAATAGACATTTCTCCAAAGAGGCCATACAGATGGCCAACAGACATATGAAAAATGCTCAACATCACGAACCATCAGAGAAATGCAAATTGACACCAATGAGCTATCACTTCACACCTGTCAGAATGGCCATCATCAATAAATCAAAAAACAACAAATGTTGCAGAGGATGTGGAGAAAAGGGAACCCTCTTGCACTGTTGGTGGGATTGTAAATTGGTACAGCCACTATAGAAAACAGCGTGGAGGTTCCTCAAAAAATTAAAAATAGAACTACCTTATGGCCCAGCATTTCTACTTCTGGGTATTTATCCAAAGAAATCTAAAACACTAATTCAAAAAAATAAATATATGCATCCCTAGGTTCATTGCAGTGTTATTTACAATGGCCAAGATATGGAAGCAACCTAAGTGTCCATCAATAGACAATTGGATAAAGAAGATGTGGTACATATATGAAATAGAATATTACTTGGCCATAAAAAAAAATGAGATCTTACCATTTGCAACAACATGGATGGACCTAGAGGGTATTATGATGAGTGAAATAAATCAGAATGAGAAAGACAAATATCATATGATCTCATTTATATGTGGAATATGAAGAACAAAAAAACAAACAAAACAGAAACAGACCCATAGATACAGAGAACGAACTGATGATTTCCAGATGGGTGGGGGGTTTAGGGACTGGGTGAAAAATGTGAAGGGATTAAGAAGTACACATTGGTAGTTACAAAACAGTTACAGGGATATAAAGTAAAGCATAGGAAATATGGTCAATAGTATTGTAATAACTATGTATAGTGCCAGGTGGGTACTAGACTAGTTGGGGGATCATTTTGTAAATTATATAACTATCCAACCACTATGCTATATACCTAAAACTAATATAAAATATTATTCAATGTCAACAGTAATTGAAAAAAATTTAACCACTCTCACCATTTTTAAGTGTATAATTCAGTGACATTAAGTGCATTCCCAATGTTGTACAACCATCACCACTATCCATTTCCAGAACTTTGTAATCACTCAAAACAGAAACCCTGTACCCATTAAACAATAACTCCCAATTCTCCTCTGCCTTTAGCCCTCCGGACCACTGTTCTGCTGTCTGTCTCTATATATTCATTCTAAATCATTATGTTTCTAGATGGGCTCAAAGTAGAAATGGAGGCACTCAAATTGACCAAATGTTTTCCGTGAATAAGGGTATCTCTGAGTTGAGTGATGCCCCTACCTGCATCCTGTGCTCCCCAAATACTGAACAACTTGTAAGTCCCACCCAACAGCATGTTCTCTCTTGTCTCTGTGCCCAGCACATGAAAATCTCTTCACTATCTTTTCCCACCTCACCTTCATTTAGCAAACTCCATCTGCTCCAAGTCTCACTTCACGCCTGACCATCCTGGGGGATCTGAACTGAGTGCTTCAGCTAGCATTGTCACAGAGGCCACAGCTTTGCAAACTAACCCGCACTCCAATCACCTATGCATCTCGTTAAAAGGAAGATTCAGATTTAATGAGTCTGGGGCAGGGCCTTAAGAATCTTCATTTCTATCAAGCTCCCAGGTGCTGCTGTTGCTACTGGTCCCTGGACCACACTTTGAGTAGCGAGATCAAAGCGTGCAGTGCTTCACCATCATGTTTATTGCAGTGTTTCCTTGGCTGTTTCTCCACTCCACTGTAAATACCTTAAGGCAGAAACCCATCTTATTTATCGTTATTTTCCAGAGCCCAGCATTGTGCCAATCCAGAGTAACTCTCAATAAATGTTGAATGAATGAATGAATGAATGAATGAATGAGCTCACAGCTGGAAGGATAAAAAGAAACAGATCTGTGAAGAGCCTCTTATAAGCCACACTAAGGAATTTAAATTTTATCCTGAAGTTATGAGAGCCACTGAAGGATTTTAAGTAACAGGGTGATGTATCAAATGTATATGTTCAGTATGTAAGATGAATTGGAAAGGATCAGGACTGAAATCAGGGAAACAATAGTGAGCTACTGCACTAGTCCAAGCATATAATTATGAAGGCCTGAGGCAGTGGTGGTGGGAACAGAGAGGAGGAAGAGGATTCAAGACCATATAGATGGGCTGACTGCACACCCCCATTTG